TGTTTATTTTTTTCCAATGCTTTTTACAGGAAATATCTGAAAGCTTTAAGTTAAAAAAGCCAACCTGTATATTTTTTTTCAATATTTTAAGTCATTTTATATTGAAAAACACTTACGATCCCCTAAAGTTAACCAGCGAGTTGTTAAAAATAAAAATAAATTAATAAATAATTTTGACCGGCTAGATCAGCAAAATACCCCTATGTGGGACGTTATTATTACGAAATTAATGTGTGGCACGAGTGGACGCGATTGATGTGGGAGTGCACGGAATGGCATTTTTATATTATTTATTTTTATGATTCTTAAACGAAATGTTAGGAGCCAATTTAGCAGCAGTCTGTTTAGTTAAATTTATTAGGTACTTATTAGGGAATCACATCGACAACCCACACAATTAAATTTGATTAAATAATTCGGGCCTTTAATAATGCATAATTAAAAATAAATTTCGTATAAAAAGTCTGTATGGATTATTTAAAAAAAAAAGTTTTAATAATATACACTGCGCGTCAAAATTAACACATAATAAGTAAAAAAATTCTAAAACGCCTTTACTAATCTTTATGAAATTTTGTATAAAAATACTTTAATTTATATCTCAGTTTATGTGTCCGAGGGTTTTTCGAGAAAATATTTTTAAAGCCCTTTTATTTAATAATAAAAAAACGTTTGAAAAATAACTTTTAGGATTTTTTTTTAAGTGAATAAAAAACATGCTGTTAAAGACCGTATTTTTGTTAGTACACCCTGAAAATTTTGTACAAATCAAACGAACAGTACCTAACGAAGATACAGTGTTTCAAAGTCGGTAAAAATGACCCCTTTTTGATTATTTTGCTGAAAAGTGGTCATTTTTGACGACTGTAAAGCGCTGTATTTTCGTTACTGTTCGTTTGATTTGTACAACATTTTCAGGGTATACTATACAAAAATACGTTATTTCAGAGCATATTTTTTATTTACTTAAAAAAAATTCCCTATAAAAGTTTTTTTTTGAGCGTTTTATTATTATTAAATAAAAGGGCTTTAAGGATATTTTCTCGAAAAACCCTTGAACACGTAAACTAAGATATGAGTTAAAGTATTTTTATCCAAAATTTTATAAAGGTTGGTAAAGGCGTTTTAACGTTAGAATTTTTTTACTTATTATGCGTTAATTTTGAAGGGCAGTGTATGGTCTAAAAATCAAATAATTATAGTATAAAATCGATTTCTGGATTATGATCTTTAAAGATTGATTAAAAACTGATTTTTTATTATATAAAGTCAAAACTAAGTTCTCTTTATTTTTTTGCCAATTTCAAAGTGGGACTTTTTGGTTTGGAGCATGGTACCTATTTGATTTTACATAATTATAATGCATTTCCATTGATAGTAAAGTCGCTAATGTATGTTAGCACAATACATTTCTTGAAAATTGCGAGTTTACCTACTCTATAGAAAATAATTTCTGTAGAAACCAATAAACTAATCAGACTACTGTACTGCAAATAGTCGCTAACTTCAAGACTGACTATGCTTTTCTTAGAAAGCAATAAATCAATCAGAGCTGCTTTTTCTGTTGCAATCTAGTGTGCTGTGGAGAAAGCAGTACCTACTCTTCCCTATTAAAAAAACCATATAGAAAAAAAGTTATCTGACTTTTATCTGGTTCAATATGTATTTGAAACAGGCATAGCACTATTTAACCAGATAGAAGCTTGTACATGTAGACCATATAGAAAACGATTTCTATATGGATTGCTATATATGTAGGTCCAGATAGAGGTTTATACATTTAACCATATAAAAAACGATTTCTATATGGAATGCCATATGGGTCCAGATAAAGGTTTTTGTATCGTTACCGTTATATCGTAATTTTAAATTTATTAAAATTAATACATAATTAATTGTTTATTGTTAGCAATAAATAATTCATAACCAAAGATTTTTCATTTCAAAGGAAGACATTCAACAGACGATTTCGATAGGAAACCTATCTGGAAAGACATATAGCACAGAAACCAGAAAAATCCATATTCAAGGTAAATTAAATTAAAATGTAAATTAGGATGTTTCATGTTGGACGTCCTATATTACGTACGTAATATGTGCTATATTATGAAAGGGTACATATGCAAAAAATGAAGTGGAGTTATTAACTAAAGTTTTAGCTATACAAAAATCTGGATACTTGTTTCAATGTTTGCATTTATCAACATGCAGAACTCGTACAATTTTCACGTTATGAGAAAATTTTATAAAAGTTTGGGTATACCCAATTCTGTACTTAACTTATTTTCATCCTAAAAAATACACTTGTACCCTTCTGCTTCTTACCCCTTCATTTAAAATCATATGGGTTGTATGGACGTTTTTAAATATATTTGTTTAATCAGTTTCGATAAAAACCATTTTATATAGAAAGTAAAGTCGCAAATTAAAAAGATACCATATAAGTAGGGGAGGTTATTTTAATATTAAAATATACATTTTATATTGCAAAAGGTATCATTTTTAAGATTTGATTGCTATAGTCTTTTTATAAAATTCCTCTTTTTGCATGTATACTATCTATAGATTTAAAAGTTTCTATTGCATTATTTTTTTATTGGATTTTAAATTTTCGTTAATGTTTAAAGGTTTTTTAGAATTTTCAAGGGTCCCGCATTATCAGCATTTTAACTTTGTATGGAAATTACGAATTGGTAGAATTTGAACTTTAAGTTAAAACAAAGTGATCAAAAGAAAAATACAAAGTTTACAAAGTCGAAATTACCATTCAGAGTTAAAATTGCAATAATATGAAACCCCTGAAAATTTAACAAAAACCTTTGAACATTTAGAAAAATTTAATAATTCCAATAAAAAGGTAAAGTGAATTTAAATATTAATATAACATTTGAACAATAATTCAAAAATTATGGGGTTTCACCATAAGTTTCACCGTAAGTGGAACTTCCTGGTCCAAGACCCAGCGATACCAGTATACCTTGAATGACAAACTGCAGTCATGATGATGTTTCGCCAGATCTCGGGTTTACCTAGGCGAGACAAATTTGAATTTGACTACCTCGACTTAGCTCGTTTGCGTGTTTAACAAAAATAAAACACGTTTAATTTATTTACAATAAAAATAAAGCAATTTCACATGTTCATAAGAATGGGTAGTAAAAACAAATAATTATAGGGAATTCCAAGTGGCGAAGCGTGCGGGTAGATAAGGTAAACAATGTATACCCAAAACTAAGCAAGGTTAGACTTGGTCTACCTTGTATACCACAAATAAAAAAACGCAAAATATGTACAACTTTTTAAATTTTAGGTCCTATTTTGGTAAAAGAGAAGATATTTATATTATAAATGAATATTTTAATATTATTAATAATAAATGTATATGGGTGGGCAGTAAACATATTATTATTATTATTATTATTTTATTTAATTTTTGTATTGTGGACTCAAATTAAGTAAACAACAAAACATAATGATATTAATTGTTATAATAAATTTGGTAAATATAACTTTAGTGCATAAAAATAAACTACAAACCAAAAAATATTACAAAGGTTCTTACTCTTATTTAAAACTAACACTTAATAAGTTTTCTTACCTATAAATTTTAACTAGAGTTGTTTGTTGGTTCTAAATTTTGTTGCACAGTTTTATTGGTCGATTATTTTTTATTGAAATATTGAAAATTTGTAATACGACCGACCGTTACAGCTGATAACACTGCACTGGCGCGCTAAACATATCGAAAACGAAACACACAAATTGCCAATTTAAGGCAATTTGCCTGCTGACCGCAGGCGGAATATCGGGATTTGGGATTTATTGTTTAGGTGGGCAATGCACTGCGCCAATGAAGAAAGTTTATTCGAAGATTTCATGTAATTTTGACCAACTATACAACTAAGACAAACCAACCCAACCCAGCACTTTTCAATAAAGGAATATTCATTTAATTATATTTTATTTTAATATTACCGTAGCAAAATAATGAAATTAAATATTGGTGCTTTTTAATGCCCTATTGTATTATGTTGATAGGTAAATTCAAAAAATATTTTTTTTATGGAGGTGCTGATCCCAATACCTTCAGCATGCTAAGAAAGTACAAATACGGTATAATTAGTATTTTAGCTCTATTCAGGATTTTTTTTTTAATTTTTGACAGGGTTGTTGTGATTTAAATCGATTGATTTGTTCTATTTAAATCACGATTTAAATAAAAAATTATATAAATTAATTAATTTGGTAGCGAACAAATAAAATATAAAGTATAAATTTAAAATTTATTGTTGATTTTACAATATTGGATTTGTTATTTGATTGTTTTGATAGTTTAATTTTGCTATAAGAGAAGTTCTTCTAGTTTATACTTTTATCGTATATTTATTATTTAAAATAAATATTAAATAATTTATTTCTGTTGAATTATAATTTTAAAAAACAACGATTTAAAAATAGCACACTTATTTAGTGAGAGCTTGAGACTTTTAAGGGATTTCTTGTTTTAACAAAGTAAAAAAATGATTTTTTTAAATAAAAAAAAACTGATTTTTGGTATCATTTGTATAATATACAATTGATGACCAAATATTACTATGAAAAATAATTGTGACAACATACCCAGTATGCTTGCTTTTTTGGGGTTGAACAAGCGTCTCTTCTTTAATGAGTTTACTTGTTTAACTATAAAAGAAAAAAAATAATGGGTATCAACATACAAAATTAATAAAAAATTATATGTATAAATAAATATTTATTTTAATGAACTAAAAAGGTACAACTAAGTAAGAGATTGCATTTTAAATTATATACAACTACCTAATTAATTTGTCATTTTAAATTCGTCCATATAAAAATATTTTAATTTTACAGGCAGGTCAACTATGCCTCCTTTAATTACATAACAAATGCATACACTTAAAAAAGCCCAATTAAAAAATAAAATAATTTTGTAAACTTTTACACACTATAATGCTTTTAAAATGATAAACACCCAAATCCTTAAATTGAGAAAAAAACATTTTAATAAACGATATTTATCTTTATGCAAAATAATAATAAAGTATTGCAATTTAATTTATTATTTACAGCTATTTCAATATACAAACAATCCTACCTATATGCTTGTAAAAGGTACAAATATATCATTTAGTTTTATAACTTTAAGTCCCCTTTAAAAAACCTAATTTTAAGTACTCAATAATTTTGGTAACTAAATATTTATGGATAATTTAGTTTGGATACTGGAAGACAATAGTGTACTTTACTTAAACTATCCAATTTCATAGCAATTACTGAAATAAACCCACCAAAAACTGAGGTAGTCCCTGCAAAGGTACTAAGTACACATCTAACTGCTAACGGGTTAAACATAAATAAAATTATAAATAATATAAATTCAACTAGGATCAATCTTTAGTTTTGCCCTTTTTCGAAAAACTAAATAATTTTCGTTTCTTCTTCTTTAAATCGTCTTCCATCTGGGACGAGTCCGTCGAACAAACGTCTTCTTCAATGGAACTGTACTGAATATCTTTATTGGACTTCGGCAGGCCTCTGCTGGCATTTTCCAAAGCCGGCTCCGATATAGAAACCTTGGGTTTCGAGCCTCCACCGTCCATAGTCATCATGTTCGTGTCGTTCGAATACGACCGAGTCATGTTTGGCTTTAAGGAGGTCAGGTTGATTTCGTTATTGCTTATGCTCCTCGGGTTCGAAAAAAATTTGCTAATTTTTGGTTGACGGACAATAATTGGTTCGTCGGGTGAACTAAAACCAAACGAAATATAGCTTAACCCTAGTCCCTACATTCTTAGGTAAAAACAATGTTTAATTTAAAACTTGTTTTGAATTGTTTAAAGCAATATAAAACAAAACACATGTTGAATAAGACTTGGATCTTTTCAAAACTCAATCGACGTTTAGTATACTCGTACTTACTTTTCTCCTCCTAAAATAAAGCTGACAGTTCCCGTGGTTTGGTGTTTGTTGACATCGGACGCAGAGACGTAGGCCTCGTCCTCCATCTTGCTGTTCTCACTTTCCGACGAGTCGCCCTCTTTCCACTGGTACAGCTGGATCTGATCCGCATACCCTGCATACACAGCGCCATCTGTTACCTTCAGTTAGCAAACGAAATAAACATGCATGGGTAAATGGAGGATGGAGGATGAAGGAATATGGTAGTTTTGGAGAGTTTAAATTTTCATCTGTGAATTTTTAAAAAATATTTCTAATAATAATTATTGTACAATTTTTTCCAAGATTTTATGGATTTACTTACCTTTTTTAATTTTTAAAAGATAAATTAGTATTGATATTACATTATTATTTTACAGAATTTGTTAAAATTTAAATATACAGAATGTTACAAAATACTGCGTTCATTTTTAGGTTAGGTTCAATTGACATAATGACATTTTTATATGAAAATATAAATATATTATAAGTAATTTTTTTACAGAAAAGAGGAAGACAAATTTTGCAATTGCACAGCATAACAAAGCACGTTATTTGTGTTTTGTGTTGAAAGCATTGCTTGGTATAGTACTTGATTTCAAGTAATTATTCTTTATATGCTTATAAACAGGGTGTCCCAGAATATGTTGTCAATCTCCCGGATTTAGATAGAACACATAAAAATAATATGACAAGTTCCTATACATTTTTTTCCTACGGAGATACGGGCCCATAACGGACGCCCCGGAAATCCTTTGTTTTTAAATAACTTTTAAAGTACATGAAATTTAATAATTTTTTAAAATATTGCTAACTAGGAAAGTTTTCTTAAAATGGGCAATTTTAATCACATTCGGCTTATTTAGTTTGTCAGGGACAGACTGGCTCTAACAGGGTAATGTTATTTTTTTAACACCCTGTACAATAAAGGCACAACAATAATATTTTGGTCAGCTTAAACCTAAACGATATCGATAAAATGAACTTTTTACGAAAAAAAAATGTTTTTGTATAATAGGGTTTTTTGCATTTATTTTTATCTTTTTTGAAATGTTTATTTTTGACATTTACCGATTTAAATGATGTCAGTGTAAGTTGAAAATAGAGAATGTTTTGAAATTTTCGATCTTTTTTTATCTTTTCAGGGGCGTCCGTTATGGGGCAGTATCTCTGTATAGGGGGCAGTATGAAAAAAAAATAGGAACTTGTCATATTATTTTTATGTGTTCTATCTGATCCGGGAGATTGCCCACATATTCTGGGACACCCTGCATATGCTTAGTTACGTTCGTTTGTGCATTTTAACTAAGTGATCATTGTGAATAATTGTTTTTAATTGTAAATGTGGGTAGGTATTTTAAGAAATAATCCGAAGTTGAATTAGTAGAAGTTTTGCCAAAGGATCCACACTGCAAATGAAAAAATATTGTCCGTATTTTTAAGTTTTATGCACCTGAATATGGTTCTATTCAAGATTTAACCTTTTATATTCGAGCTCATGTGTCCGAATACTTTGCTGCTCTTACTTAGTGGATACTTTTACCTTCGTAGTCATTGAATATTTTGTGATTTATAGGAATCCGGTATAGGTAATTTAAGGTGCCGAATACTTCTCAACGGATTAAGTTTCTTAATACCTCTCTGAAGTATTCACAGTCAAAGTTTATGTATGTTCTGATTTAGTCAAGCGTTCAAATCTCTTGCTGATGAATATTATTTATTCTATCTTACGTAAACGTTTTAACCTTTATAGTCTTTGAATATTTTGTGATGAATAGGAATTCAATATAGGCAATTCAAGGTGCTGAATACTTTTCAACAGGTCAAGTTTCTTAATACTCCCCTGATGTATTTTCACTCAAAGTTGATGTATGTTCTGATTTCTACACCTGGTCAAGCGTTCAAATCTCGTGCTGATGAATGTTATTCATTTTGTCTTACGTGGAGGTATTTGGGCTATGTTAAAATGATTATTGTATGCTCTATACTTGAGTCGAGGATTCAAATTCGAGGATTAAGTGAAAGAGAACGTTTCAATATGGATAGTAATTAATAAACAGAAAAAACGACATGAAACGGAAGTGACGTCATATAAGGTGTGGGCCCAGTTTTTTTTATAATAATTTTGTTCAAAATAATAGTATATTATTATACGAGATATAATGGAGGATATTATTCACGAGGATGAGGTTTGCGTTAAATTATCCAAGTGAATAATGCGCATAATCTCGAATGTAATACTATACTTTGTCTACTTCAATAATTAAATCATTTTCAAAAACAAATAAATAAAATCAGACATCTGACAAATGTATAACCTCACAACCCAGTGAATATTGAAATCTGATGCCTAGCAATGCATTGCCTTTTACAAAAAATACTAACTTTTGTTCAGATATCTATCACAAAAATATTATATTATTTAAATAACAATTATTTTTTTGAGATATGGGTTTCCAAAAAAAAAATATTTAATTCGTTCGAACTCTTGTAATATATTGCTGCTGAGTTGCCTATAAAATTTAGGCGCAATTACCTTTAATTAATATTTACTGTAATTTTTGTCAATCAATTCTTATATATATATATATATATATATATATATATATATATACGAGGTTTGTTCAGAAAATATCGGAAATTTTCGTTTTTTGAAACAAATATTTATTTATTCGTCTACATTAATGTGGTCGCCTTCAAAATAGTCCCCATTGCATATTATGCATATGTGCCAGCTCTTCTTCCAATACTCGAAACACTTCTAAAACTCGATCTTTGGGTTAGCCTTTAGTTCTTTCAGCATTGCGCTTTTATTGTCATCTAAGCAAAACGACGGCGCTTTAAGGTTCTCTTTATTTTTGGGAATAGGAAAAAGTCAGACAGAGGCATGTCTGGCGAATATGGAGGCTGGGACATCATTAAAGTATTGTTTTTGCCCAAAAATTTTGTTCAAAATTTAACAATTTTGGAACAAATTTTGCTGCCACGCGTTTCATACCCAAAACATTCGAAAAAATTTCATGGGATGAGCCAATCGATATACTAACATTATCAGCGACTTCTCTGATGGTTTATAACCATTTCTTCCACTTTTTCCATGTTTTTATCGGTTGTTAATGTGCTTGTGCGTTCGGAGCGTTCGTCAATTTCAACGTCTTTACGGCCATCTTGGAAACTCTTATACCACTTGTAAACTCTTGTTTTACTTATAGCAGGCCTTTGTTAACATTTCACAGAATTTATTTCATTTTTTAAGCAAAATTGGATACAAATTCTTTGATCCATTTCTTTCGAACGAACGAAAATCGCCGAGCTCATAAAACACGTCCAACCTTAGCGGCTGCCACAGACAAAGTAAACAATGAAAACAGCTAAAGTTTTTATGATACTTCGGGGGCATGTATACCAACATAATAAAGAAAATTTTATGACAACCGGACCCTCCGAACACCCGAAATTTAACAATTCCCGTTATTTTCTGAACACACCTCGTATGAACGAGCTTTCATTTTCATCAGCGACCCTCAGAGCTCAGTTAAAAAGGTACCGGGATCGATACCCAGTGCCTGCATATAACTATTTTGTTTTTTTTTACAAGAATGCTTGCTAGAAGCATTCACGTGGTCAATACCATCAACAAGCATTCATTCATCACAACATTTAATAAAGACTATGCTTCCCACAAGGGTCCAAAATTTGTACTCCAAATACTGAATTCACTGTAAAGTGCTTTAAATACAGTCAATATTTTTTCGTTTGCAGTGTAACGATGCTTTTTTAGCGTATGCGCTTAAAAAAATAATAGTAATAATAGTAAACAAAAGATTTTTATACATTTGCTTTACAAAATGAAGAGCTTCAAAGATGCACAATTAATATAAATTATAAAAACAGCATTTCGTCATAAAACTGAATGCTTTTAATTGTCTCCCGTAAAAAAATCTATAACCCGTATTTTTCACACTGTCACCCATTAAACAAAGAAGTAGAAGGTGGCAACCTTAACCACAACATAAGATAATTCTAAAATATTGCTGACCAAAAATGGTTAAAGAGTTAGTGTCTGGAAAATAAGTTATATCAGATTTGTTTTGAGTCCGGTAACGGTTACGATTACGGTTCGTATAACAATGTAGGATAGTTCAACTTAAATTACATACATAATAAAGAATATTTTACTTTTATAATGGTTTTAACATTATACTTTGTATTGTTTGGCATGATTTAGCTTTGTCGGGTATCCTCTTAACCCATTTGGGATATAATTATATTTTAGGATTCTTTGGAAAATTAAAAAATATCATTTCAGCTTTGACGGCACAGCATGTCGAGCTTTTTGAAGCCGAAAATTTCGTCAACATGAACGTCGACATCTTTAAATGCCTTGTTTGAACCAAGCCTAATCATATTACAAATGTATTCCTACTCTGATATATTTTTTTACCGAAAAACAAACATTTAGCAGCACAGCATGTCGACATCGACATTTTTATCAACATTTGTGACGACATGGTTTGTAGGGAGGCTTCGGATCTTTCAAGAGAGTTGATATCAAGTTACGCAAAATCGCACCAGATGCATAAAATAGCCAATTTTTGTTTGCGTTTGGTGAAAATCATAATTTTTGATTTAACTAGTCTTTTATTGTTCGCATGTTTTTAAAATTCTCCTAGTAGGTTGTGGAAAGTCAAGAAGGCCATGAAAACAAATGATTTTTTTCTGTCAAACTCGAATTCTTATTAATCTATGTTTTGTTCTGATTTTTAACCCGCTTTAACCGAAAAAATTGAAAACTTGCACTAAAATAAGGGGCAGCCATAAAGAAAATAAATTGAGAGAAAAAGTTATGAAAAGACCTTTACCGATCATTCCAAATTTTAAAGTCATTAGAAGCAATGAAGTTAACTAAAGGCCGCGGCCGTGTACTCAAGTAATTTATAAAGAAAATGGACTATACGGCTCAAAATAGTTCCACCAAGACCGAGACCCAAAAATGTACTAAAAAACAGAAATTGGTAAAGGTTAAAGGCAACAAGAGAGGAACAAGTTATCACATCGCCGATAAGCGACAAAATAGTTATTGCAGAAAATATCAGCAATACTAATCAATATATTACAATCAATTTAGTTACAAAA